CGGCAATGTGCGTGTAGGTGAGGGCTAGCTCGTTGAACCGGCACACATATAGGAGCCATACCCGCACCCTGTCCTCTCGAAAGGTCAGCTCGCCATTGGACCCATGCTCGGTTTGGATAAACTCTTCCCGCAGACTCGGGGTCTGGCCAATGTGATCAAACAGCGCGTTCTCGGCTGGACTGCCATGGCCCACCCACCAGTTCTTGACCCTGTTGGTCCGATCCTCCTTCAATCGCAGCCGCTCATATTCTTTCTCGTAATCTTTCCGCAGGCGTGAGTCCAGCAAGAGGTGCTTGTCCAATATTTCCGTCATGTCTTTGCGCATCTGCTCCAATGCGGCCCCGAGCTCCTCCACATTGAGCTCAATACCTCGGCAGACAATGGTGCGCAGCGTCTCGTCCGTCACGTCGCCATCGGCTCGGATGTCGACGTCGACTCCAGCCTGCCCCTCGGCCACGCTCGCTGTTCGTGCCATGCTCATGCGCTGGCTCAAGAAATGCACCAATCGCCCGGGCTGCATATACGGCCTCAACTCGTTGGCCACTGACCACGACTCATTCTTGCCACGGCGAAGCAGGAACAATTTGAAAACGTACAGCAGTCCAGCGGGCGTCGTGGTCCACTGCCTGATGTCTTGCAGGATGCCGCTTCCTTTGGACACGGCCGTGCACAATAGGAAGACGTTGACAAAGTGCACCTTGTCGTTGTCAAAGAGGCTCAGCTCCACCTCCACCAGGGCCAGCCACAGGGACGTGAGGGGCTCGACCAGCTCTTTCTTGGTCATTTCAGCGTCCAGGCCCGCACTCAGAGCCACGGTGGCATTTATTACCGCAGGGCCACGGCTGGCAAGCACCTGGCCCAGAAAGCTCGACGGATCGGGGGCTGGCATGGCCTCCAGCAGCAGCAAGAATTGGATCAGGCGTGTTCCAAGACTCAGGTACCTGCTGACGGTTTGCGGCTGTACTTGCCGCATGGGGCGATGTTGATACTGCCCTTCATTGTCGTCAAACAGACGCGTCACCGCAGCGGCGGCCAGGCCCTGATCCGAGAGCTGCTCGTAGGCCGACCAGAACAGCTCGTGCATGCCCGACTCAAGGAGTGCTGACGGGGTGTTGTGGCCCAGTTCGACCATGCGCTCTGGCTTCAGCTCGTTGATGACCAGCGTCATGCCCACGCTGTCGTAGAACGGATGCATCTGGTGAACGCCGTGTGGGCATCGCTTATCCTCAGCCTCCGAGGCCATGGCCTGGGTGCTTGAGATAAACTGCTTGAACCGCTGCTGCTCCTCGAGCTCCTCCTCGCTCTCGCTGACATCGGCTGCCGAGGCGTCGTGGCTTTCCTCCACAATGACCTCGACACAACGGGCTCCAGCACCACGCAGCGGCTTTTGCAGCTTGACTCGTCGAGGTGGCTGATTGATACCGGGGTCACCAACATGCTCGGTGTGCAAGTGGCAGTGCAGGCTATTTTTTGACGTGTAGCATGCTCGGCACAGGGGGCAGCCCACACCGTCCAGAATGGGGATGCCTTCCGCAGGTGTACAAGGCATGGATCCTGCGCCAGTGTCCATCAAAGGCCCCTCGGGCTGCAGTGGACGCAGGAGTGCTGTGGCAGCATCAATGTCCTCTTGGGTGCAACGTAAATGATGTTTCTTGAGCAGATGATGGGGAACATTTCCACTGAGGACGTGGCCGCATCGCGTGCAAACTAGTGATGCAAATGCAGAGGTTACAAGGCACTCAATGTCGGCCATGAACATTTGTGCCCCGGCCACGCCGTGCTGTCGATTGAGGTTGACTTCACGTTTTGGCACACGCGTGCGTGCCTTCAGACGCGCCGGTGCACCAGCGTCAGGCATTTTATGCGCAGTCTTAGCATGACTGCGAAGGTACGCTGCACGATCGTAACTGGACGCGCATCCTGGAGCAGGACAGTGAAATTTTGCATCCGCTTGTCGTGTAACATGGTGCTTGACACCATAAATGGTGACAGAACTGCTCTGCTGGTGCATCTATCAGCAAGCAGATGTTCATAAGAGCGAATGCGATGCAGCCACAGATGAAATCAGCTCACCAACTCACCTTGCGACAGTGTTCGTCTCTGAGACCACGATTAGGAAAGGTGTCGCCACATTGGCGGCAAGCAGTCTGTCCAGTGTTTTGCGTGCCAGACACATCAACATCCATGATGCGGATTCTTGGGGACGTGTCAGTTGGATTCCGTGGGAAAAGAACGGGCAAGAGGAGGTGCAAGGGACGGCCACTGTGAACGATCGATGTGAGAAAAAAAAAAAAAAAAATTCTGTAAGTGAATGAATAATATGTGAATGGATGTTCTTTGACATGCATGTTAATCAATGAAACGTCGTTGAAAACACCTGTTTTCAGTGTGCGATATGGAAGTAATGGATAGCTCTGTTTGAGGAACTACGGTTATTCGAACAGTCACGTTTTCTGAGTGCGATTCAACTAAGTCATACAAATAGAAGATGACATAACGTTAGGTGGAAGTAT